CGCATGGAAATCTTCTTGCACTGATAGACTTGATACATTGCTCAGACATCTGTTCTTTGATCCCTAGCGGGATACTGCGTCATATTTCAAATGAGCATTTCAAGGGTGAAGGGATTTTCTTCTCCTCTACATCAGATTTCCACCTAACTAAGAAGATTAGTGCGAATTTGGGTTGATAGTTCTCGTCTTGATAAGTTCACAAGTCTATTATTGAACTTCATTACTTTGCTTCTTCTTAAACTTGCAATCACGCCTTTACTTCTTAAATTAGAATTTCAGAAAAAAATTGGATAGACTCGGTACTTACCACAAACTGGGATATTATTTTTAAAGAAGCAAGCAGTAATTCTTATGGGTAATTCCATCAATGTACTCAGTCAAAATTAGAGAATGCTTAGAAGTCGTTTGCCGTCCCCCCTTTTGGAATAAGTGATCTTTCAAAGAACTTTAGAAAAAGTGGTTGACAGCTGCCAGCTGATATTTAGAACAATCAGAAACCTTTGAGTCTTAGATGTACCATTTGGAACGATATCTGGGTGACCTATGTGCAAATCATTGAAGAGCATGCTTTTTCTCTTTTTAGTCCTATTCTCCTCGTTGATTAATCCTGAAGTTCCACTCAACTCCTACTAGATTAGAGTCTTTGCAAGTTTCTAGAATGATTTGCGATTCTAAACGTACTATTTTATAACACGATAGTTAAAAGTATAGACAATATGTTCGGAGGGCGTTTACAGAATAGTAGAAACTCTCATTTTACACTTTTCTTTGTTGGGAGGCAGCTTTGCTACGCTGGTATTTTGTTGCTGATTCGTTTCATTTATTATGACACTAGGATGTTCTTTTTTAGGTCGGCGCTGGAGATAAGCCAGCGGGTACGGTCGCAGCCGAGTGATTGAGATTCGCCCGCCGGACGTTGTCGGATCCTAACCCATACATGTGTTGACCTTTTAGATTGTTGCAATACCATATTCGTAGACCAAAACATCTGCCGGTCGCCGTCTTTTTCTTCTTTTCAATACGAGGGTGTTGAAGTGGCGACTCGTTATCCTTCGTATCTGTTGAACCTCAAATCAAAGTGTTAACCCCATGTGTGCGTGTCACTAGTATTTATATTGTGTCTCTACGGTCTCCATCTTGTTGATAAATTACGTATTCTTGTTGTTTCTATATATGGCGTAATATTTTCTCTTCAATAAACTGTGAATCGTCAATTTTTTCCTTGTTGAAATTACATAAAGCTTTATTATCTGAGATTATGAAGCGATATTGCTGAGGAAAATTGGAAATTTACAAGTGAATCTTAGGGGGAAATGCTGTAATAGGGTAAGCATGCATGACAAGAGTTTGGCAAATTAAAATAGATACTACAAAAATCAAGCGCTACTTGGATAATGATGGTCGAAAGTTTAAGAGACTACAGCTATGCAACAAATCTTGAG